TTGGGTAGCCATTAGTGTAAGGAGGGTAAGAGACATAATGGAAAAGACATGGACACCTATAGAGCTTGGCGCCAATCTCAGCAGCACCCAGCCTAAGTCAGGAGAATCCTGGCCAACCATCTGTGCATGAATGATAAAGGTCTGTGCTATTGAGATTTTGTGTGACAAGTAACCAGCATTATTTTAAAGCACAATGATCTAAGCACCTTGTGTATGGGTTTCTCTCCCTCACTACTTCAGGAGCTTCTTGAAAGGAATGACCATTATAATTCTACATTTCCTCAGCCTAGTTCTTGCATATCATAGCCTCAAAAATGTTTGATGGGTGAATACTGAATGAGTGAATGACATACAAGAGTGTCTGAGTAGAATATAAGAAGCATGGTTACTAAGGAAACCCAGGTAAATAATTTAGAAAAAATACTGGAATACTGCTTTGGTTCTGGAGGAAAGTTATACACATTCTTAGGCTAAAAGTAAAAATTTGTACCAATTCTAGTCCATTCATAAGCAGGGACACTAATTCCTAGATAAAACCAAACTTTCAGATCTGACTCTGAATTAACCAGATGGTAAAGTCTGAGTTACTTTTCCATTTTGTTCCAAATGGTGATCTCTTGCATCAGTAGCAAACTGGACATATCCTCTGAATCTGCTTCCAATAACAATTTCAGGAATTTTCTACAGGTGCCTTCCTTCTTGGTTATGATGCTTGCGTCTGCTATTAATGATTAACATGTAACTTTGTTTTCTAAAATTGCTATTATGTATAGTGAATCCTTTATAAATGACCATTAATTGTAACACCATACATTTTAAGGTCAGTGTAGGCTACCTTAAATATTATGGAAAGATGTGAAGATTCTAGAAGTTGTAAGAATTTAAAGTTCAAATGTTGACTTAATATGCACTTCTTGTGGCAATGTTATCTGAGGTCTAAGAATAAGTTTATGTGTGTGTGTGTGTGTGTGTGTGTGTGTGTGTGTGTATGTGTGTTTACTTTCTCCTATACCATGTGGGATTCTGAGTCAATATGAAAGCAGCTGACAGCACTAGATAAAGATGATTAGAGTGAAGAATTTAATCGATAACCACTTTTATCTCAGCAACACACATTACACCTTTAAAAATTATTTGCACAAATGTTTATTCTTAGCTGGTCTCAGAGTAAATAATACCAAGCTCTGTGAAGAGTCAGAAAAACATTAGAGAAGAAGGAGCAATTCCGAATGTCCAAAAAAAAAAAAAAAAATGCTGTGGTCAAGCCTGAGCAGTGAATCTTTCCTTGATGATAGGGTACCACAAGATCACCCCAAGCCACACGATGCCATTTCTGACATCAATTCTGCAGGCATATGGATCTCATCTCTTAGGAGAAATTCCAAATTAAGTCCAAGTACACCACTGGTAAAATAGTAAAAAAATGTTTCTGATGAAGAATACATTATATAATTTAATACTAAAATAACTTAAGAAAAAAACCTGAATCTGTAATGACAAATCTTTCAAATCTGTACATATTAATGATTTCAAACATGTATTAGGACGTGAAGAATTTTATTTATTTTAGGAAGTGTTATATCTGAAGAGTCTGGAATAGTAATCAAAAGACATGAAGAGACAGTTTTAAAAGGTAACGTTATTTTTGAAAGACTTTAATTAGCTAGCTAAAGCAATAAGTACTTGCTTTACACATAGTAAAATGAACAGCTGTACTGTCTTAGGAACAGGTGTGTCCCTAAAGCAATCATGGGACCCAAGGGTGCGGGTTGAACTTGGCCAAAGACCATTTTTAGTCTTTACCATGAGAACCACTGGTATTTATTTCAGGGGGACCATACAACGGAAATATCATATTTATAAGAGAAGTCTGTTGATTAGTGAGTGAGAAAATCAGGGTATACAAGTAACCAAGTAGGTCAATCTGTGTATGTTTCTCTCCTAGCCAGCAAGTATGTGTATACACACACACACACACACACACACACACACACACACACACACACACACTGAAATTTTTAAGCTAGCAATAGTAAAACCTGGAATCCTGATATGCTGTCAAGATTTATGCTTTTCATGTTCTCCTATGGTATGAATGACTATTTTAAAAAGTTTTAGCTAGCCCTCAATGGGCCAAGACCAGAGGAAAGATGTTATTAATCTGAACTCAAGGCACTTTAAAGAAAGTGTATGCAGATTTGAAGAGCCTGGAGCAATGGCCCTGTCTATGGCCTTGGGACTCAAAGAGAAATTCACCAAGTGGAGGGTGATTTCTAGGGAAAGGAGAGCCTTCCATCCATGACATTTCCTCCTAATGCTGAACGCTAGAGTCTCAGTGACAGCGCGCACGTGTGTGTGTGTGTGTGTGTACGTTTAAGTACGATTGCTGATCTCCTTCTAGGGTACCATGTATTTTTAGGGGGTCATTTAGAAGAACCAAACACTAACTTCTCTAACTAAATAATTGCTCATAAATTTATAAAATGTATTTTTAAAAGAACATATGTCCCTTTGTATGAAGTTAAGACTATTAAACAAAATAGAGCTAAGAAAACCATTTATGGCATTGCATGTTAATATAATTTCAGATCTTCTCTAGTAGACACAGGACTTATTTTGGATTTCTTTATTTATACTTGTGCTTAAAAATACTTGTGCCTTTTTAATTGAATTAAGCATAAGAGTTAAGTCTTTATTTTGCATAGCCTCACTAAACCATCATGAGTTAATTTTCACTCATTAGGAAACTAAAATCAGGAGAGAGTAAATTTTCTGAGCTAAGTAGGGGTGTAGCAGGCATTCAGACTGTGGCCTGAAAAGTTTACTTGGCAGTCCATGTCTGCTTGTGCTATATATCTTAGCAAATTATCCTGACATTATTATGAAATTAAAAATAAACTCATAGGGATGCCTCGGTGGCTCAGTCAGTTGCGTCTGCCTTTAGCTCAGGTCATGATCCCAGGGTCCTGGGATCTAATTCTGCATCGGGCTCCTTGCTCTGCAGGAAGCCTGCTTCTCCCTCTGCCTGCCACTCCCCCTGCTGTGCTCCCTCTCTCTCTCTCTGACAAATAAATAAATAAATAAATAAATAAATAAATAAAATCTAAAAAAATAATAAACTCATAATAAGCCAAAGAAGTACATTATCCATTAGCCCTGGTGGAAACCATATACAACCTCAAATCTTTTTTTTTTTTTTAAGATTTTACTTATTTATTTGAGAGAGATAGTGAGCATGAGCAGTGGGGAGGGGCAGAGGGAAAGGGAGAAGGAGAAGCAAGCTCCCCACTGAGCAGGGATCCTGATGCAGGGCTCGATCCCAGGACCCTGGGATCATAACCTGAGCTGAAGGCAGACATTAACCCACTGAGCCACCCAGGTGCCCAAATCTTTTAAAAGCATACAATTCACACTAAATGAGCCACACAGTGATGCTCCCACCCACAGGCCTAATTTATTCCCTTTCTTCATATTTCCTTTATGAAGTACTTTACGAATGTTTATCAGAAAGAGTTTCTTTCCTCCTTTTCTGAAACAGTGGGTGAGCAGCATGCTTTGAGCAGTATGACTGTGGATGTTCTGTAGGTAGCACAAGCTCTCAGGAAACAGATCAGAGAGATGAAATACATCCAGAAGAGTGTGGGAGAGAACTGGAATGTGAAATGGAAGCTGGAAGAAGAGTTGCAGAAATGCCTCCATGACTTTCTGAAAACTGCCAGCATCGGCAAAGGGGTTGTGCCCACATATGTTTGTGACCAATTGACAGGGAAAACTTGTTTTTTTTCTCGGGTTAGCATCAAACAATAAAATAATGCTTTTTAACGGGCTACAAAGACAGTGATGGCTGTTTGCATGTTATTAGTCATAACAAGTTCATGATCACCAAGTGCTATCCTGGTGCATTTTAGCTGTGCTAATTTATAAGCCACAGATAATTCCCGGATTTCTTTTTAATAATTAGTGGCAAGCTTCACCAGTGTCTCTTCATCTTTTCAAAAACACTGGCCATCAAAAATTAGCAGGATGAAAAGTTTCTATTAGGTCATCTAGTGATTATTATAATTATTTTAAAAAATGAAGAAAAAGGAGCTCATCACATTACTCTGATTTCGTGATTCAGAGGTGCTAGGCAAGAACATGCAGAATTTCAGAAATTCCTCTTAGGTTAGAGAACAGGATAATAAGTAATGTGTATCACATAAGCCTCAATTTTATTATATCCTGATATTTCATTCTTGCATACTTATAGTATGCTATGGACTGAATTGTGCTTCCCTAAAATTCATGTTAAAGCTCTAACCTCTGAGATGATTTAGAGATGGAATCATTGGGAGTGATTAAGTTTAGATGAGACCATGAGGGTGGGTCCCCCATAGTAGGATTAGTGCCGTATGAGAAAAGACCTGAGAGAGATTTCTCTCCCTCCCTCCCTCCCTCTCTCTCATGTGGGGACACAGCGAGAAGACAAAATGGCTGTCTGCAAGTCAAAAAGAGGAACCTCACTGGAAACCAACCCTTAATCTTGGATTTCTAGCCCCCAGAATTGTAAGAAATTAATTCCTATTGTTGAGGTTACCCAGTCTATGGTACTTTTTCTGGCAGCCTGAGCTAAGACATGGTATTAGCCAAATTCCCTAAAATCTACTGACAACATGATAAACCAATTTGTTAATTTAGACTCTAAATCTACAACAACTCTCAAAGAAGAAAACATAGAAAAGTTGTACATTCAAAACTTCCTATTTAGTGAGTTAACTTATTAGTTATTTATTTAGATAAATTGCAAATGTCACAGCGCAAGAAGTCAGCACACCTGGGCTGTACCTTAGGAATTTCTCCTGGTTGCTATGCAACCTTGGGGAAACCTCTTCACAGCTCAGATGGATTAGATTACTTTCTTCTAAAAATGATTTGTCTGAAACATTCCTAAGGCCCCTCCCAGTCTCAAAGTTCTACAACCATTAGGGAACTTTAAATAATGGAAGGCAACTCACACTCACCATTTTGTTCTCGCTGTACGCCTGCCGCCAGAAGATCAGGCTCGCCAAGGCTGATGTCATTCAGCCGGGTCCCCAGACACTCCATGCAGAGATGCTTGCACCACTCCTCGGCCTCCAGCTCTGAAAATGAGCACACACCACCGAGGTCAGGCAGTGCTGCGCAGGAATGAGACAGGAAGATAACTTCCTAAACCTTTTTCCTAGGTAGGTGGTAAGAGTTAAACACCTACCTGAAGAAAACAAAAACACCAAAATTTGGCTATTGTGGACATTGCTGCTATGAACATGGAGGTGCAGGTGCCCCTTCGGATCACTACATTTGTATCTTTGGGGTAAATACCTAGTAGTGGAAAGAGCTGAGATGTCCATCGACAGATGAATGGATAAAGAAGATGTGGTATATACATACAGTGGAATATTACTCAGCCATCAGAAAGGACGAATACCATTTACATCAACATGGATGGAAATGGAGAGTATTATGCTTAGCGAAATAAGTCAATCAGAGAAAGGCAATTATCATATGGTTTCATTCACATGTGGAATATAAGAAACAGAGCAGAGGACCATAGGAGAAGGGAGGGAAAACTGAATGGGAAGTCATTTGAGAGGGAGAAAAACCATGAGAGATTCTTAAATCTAGGAAACAAACGAGGGTTGTAGATAGGGAGGTGGGTGGGGGATGCAGTAACTGGGTGATGGGCATTAAGGAGGGAGCTTGATGTGATGAGCCCTGGGTGTTATACTCAACTGATAAATTACTGAACACTAGATCTGAAATAATGATGTACTATAAGTTGGCTACTTGAATTTAAATAAAAAAAGATAAAATAAAAAAACCCTATATTTGAGAAGTGAAAAAAATCACTGCAATTACTTCCCATGGGCTGACATTATAACATATTTTAAAGTCATTTTAACTTATTCTAATGTACTTTATCTTATTTACAAATAATAGTCTGAGAATATTGTTTACTATCTAGTATATTTTAGATTGATTTAATTTTTCGAGGGCAGGTACTCAGAAAAATTAATTAAATATAAAATAAAGATATGTAAATGAATACTTGAAAAATGTCAGACTAAAATAAACGAGAGAATGTGACTTAGATTTGGGTGGGTTGAAGGTCTGATCCTTCATTCTGAACTGCAATGCATCAAAGATCAGCACAAGAATGTGATAGCTTTTTTTTGGTAAACATCAAAAATGGTCCATCCTTACTTTAAAAAAAATTGGGATAGAATATTCAAAGTAACTTTCCCTTTTAGAAAACTCCAATTATCTACGATACTGGTTATCTTCCAACTTCTTTATATTTGCAAGTTTATTCTTTGCTTGAAACATCAGAACATCTTACACCTACACAGAATCTTGTAGTATCTCACACTTTCACAAACATAAGTGAATTTGAGTCTTATATAAGGCCTGTGTGGGTGAGGTGGGTAAGTAGTGTCACACCTGGGTCCCATATCACTGGTCAGCACAAAGACAGAATTGCAGCCCAGATCTTCTAGATATTATAATATGAAGAATCTGAAAAAGGGTATGAGGTTGAAAATTTTGGGCCAAGCCCCAAAACTGCTGCCCAGAAATTGGATGAGAACTTTCCACTGACAACTGCCCAGAGACATTTCTGACTTTCCCATGTAGCATAAATCTGTACTAGAACAGTTTAATATAGATTTCCCTCAAATCTCTTGTTACTCTCCACGAATGACATTCCAACCTTTGCCTTGGCATTTTAAACTCCCCATAAAAAGTTACCTGTGACAGGTTTTCTTGACTCTAGGGATCTGAATACCAACTCCTCTGCTCAACGGTCAACACCATCAAACCCAGGTAATGTTTTCTTCCTGTGCTTAGTCACACTGCCTTAGCATCAAAAACAGGTTTGATCAATAAGATGTCAAGTCAAATTTGTCATTTGTTTTTAGTTTTATCAAGACCATAAAATACTGTGAGAAAATAAAGAAAAAGATCATGTAGTCCTCCACAGGGACTATTCTAATGAGAACAGTAGTTCCTATGCTCTAGGCATGAAAGGTGTTTCTTTACTTAAGGTACAGTTTGCATGTGTCGTGAACCATTCCCTCAGTGGTTCAAAACAGACCATCCACCTACGGCAGGGAGGAAGGAGATTCTCACGTGAGCATGGCCTCCTGCTCAGGTGGAATCAGAGCCTACGTCTGGCTGCTTAGGCCTTTCCTTGGGAACCTAAAAAATAACCCTTTCCAATCACAAGGCCAGTAATATACGGAAGGGGCACTGGCTGAACCTCACAGCTTTCCATGAAAAATCTTTTTTAGTGAAGGAATGCCAGCCTTCCTGAAAAACATTTTATAGAAGCAGCATCAGCATGTATTAGAAATCATTTTCATCAGATAGAGGAGTTTTGATTTATAAGATTTATATAAAAGTTTTGCAAGCTTTTTAAACAACAAATCAAAATCTCAGACCAATTTCCATGCCGTGTCTCTAGAAATCCTTGACATTTCTGTGAAGGGAGACAATATGACTATATTTTCCCTTTTTTATATTTTTTATGCCTTGAATATTTCTCAGGACTCCACAATTTTAAATAATCAGGAAAATCACATGCAATTAACATCTCATCTGCACAACTTTACCTGACAGTATTTCTGGTACTCCATAGGTGGAGCTGAGAATACCTAGTAGTAATGCTGTTTGGGATCAAAATAAAAATGTTAAATATGACAAACACCTTTGTACCAGTGTTTCCTTTAAATACAAAGTGAGCGCATTCCCCGAAGTTAAAGAAATATGTCACTCATTTCTATTAATTCTTTTGCCCTAGGATTCAATGAACAAAACAACCATCCAATACTTCAGCGTTTTAATAGTAGAGTAGCATGAAGAAATAGAAATAGCAAAAGTAATAAAAGTAGAGGATATATAGTCACATTAAAGACGAGTGTAGACAATTTCAGAAAGACAGAAACAGAAACGAAGAGAGAAGCAGAGGGAGGGAGAGAGACATCCTTGCAATTCAGGTATCAGTAGAAGTTCATTTCTTTTCTAACAAAAATTTACTGTGAACTCACTATAAGCGAGGCACTGTTCTGTGCTAGGAGGTTAGATGAAAAACACACAGTTTCTGTTGTCTCTAATGTTAGTGTAGTGGGGCAGGCAGGTGAGTCCAGATGTGGTACCCTGCAGGGCTGCAGGTTTGGTCCGTAGGACCTGGGAGCTGTGGCAAAGGCTGAGCAGCTTGGAAGGAATGTGGTCAGGGACCTGCAGGACAAGCAGAAAGAAGGGGAGGGCATATGTACATGTGAGTGTGTGTGTGTGCATCCGTGCATGTGTGTGTGCGTGTGTGACAGTGTATGTGTGAATGTGTGTGTTTGCTACTGTGGGGGTATTTGTGAATGTGTATCTGTGTGTGAGCGAGTCTGTGACAGTGTGCATATGAGTGTGTTTTAGTGTGTGTGGGTATTTGTGACAGTATGTGGGAGTGTGAATGTGTCAGTGTATGAGAGTATGTGTCTGCATGTGAGAATGTGTGAGGGCATGTGTCAGTGTGTGTGTGTGAGCGTGTGAGGGTATGTGTGGGTATATGAATGTGTTTGTGTGAGTGTGCTGGAGGAACGATGCTGGACTGAGGAAGGTGGCCAGGGGCCAAGATGGAAAGGCATCTCCTGGGATCTTGTGAGCAGCTAGGGACAGCCCGGAGTTCATGAAGCAAACTCTGAGAAAGAGTCAGCAATCTGTCCTTACTCTTCGTAGTGTAGTACAGGAGTGCCCCCCAGATCCATGGGTTCAGTTACCCAAACGTGGTTGGAAACAGATGATCCTCCTCTGACACAGCATCAGGAGGTCAAAGTCGCCTAACACTACATCACATCACCTATGTCACTCATCTCCCCTCATCTCCTCACGTGGGCATCTTATCATCTCACATCATCACAAGGAGAAGGGTGAGTACTGCACAAGATATCTTGAGGGGCACCTGGGTGGCTCATTCTTTAAGCATCTGCCGTCGGCTCAGGTCATGATCCCAGGGTCCTGGGATCGAGCCCCACATCGGGCTCCCTGCTCGGCGGGAAGCCTGCTTCTCCTTCTCCCACTCCCCCTGCTTGTGTTCCCTCTCTCGCTCTGTCTCTCTCTGTCAAATAAATAAATGAAATCTTTTTTAAGAAAAGATATCTTGAGAGAGACCACATTCACATAGCTTTCATTACAGTATATTATAATTATTCTATTTTATTATTGTTGTTAATCTCTTACTGTGCCTAATTTGTAAATAAAACTTTATCATGGGTATGTGTGTCTAGGAAAAAGTCTAATAGGGTTTGGTTCTACCCCTGGTTTCAGGCATCCACTGGTGTCTTGGAATGTGCCCCCCATGGAAAAGGGGGGGGTTGTACTATTTAGTTCAAGCCTTTATCTCAAAAGTATTAAGCTTTGTAATCTGCATACTTGATCGAACAGTTTTGCTGCAGATAAGCTGAATTTGTTTAAGTATTATACAATGATTTGGTTTTTTAAAACCCATTCTTGAGAGTCACCTTTCAAATAATTATACCTATGCTTTTTATTTGTTCTTTCTTAGGAAAACTATGTATTGAAATCCTTTAAACTTTTATGGTGTGCTAATTTATTTTGTCTCATCATTATTTAACTAGTGTTTTTTGCTGAATTATCTTCCATCTTTTACTTCCTCTATTTTATTTTTGCAGAACAGAGGAGATTAAATACAAATGCAATCATCAAAACCCACTGCATTTTAAAATGTTTATTTTCCCACAGACTCAGTGCCTTTTGTCCTACATTTTATCTTTCAAACTTCTACCTACATATAGTGTATAAATAATTAAATGTTTTTATGGCTGCCTCGGTAGCTCAGTTGGTTGAGCTTCCTACTCTTGATTTCCGCTTAGGTCGTGATCTGGTGGGTCATGGGATCCAGCCCCAAGCAGGGCTTTCCACTCAGTGGGGAGTCTGCTTGTCCCTCTCCCTCCCACCGCTTGCACACTCACTCTCTTCTTTCTCTCCCTCTGTCTCTAACTCAAATAAGTTTAAAAAATAATCAAATTTCTTTAAAGAGGAATATAGGCACAAAAATGTTTTATGATGCTTTCTATGTTTTCTCTTCAGGATG